TTTAATGTGTGTTCAACCCTATCTGCGTTGCACGTACATGACATTGTACAGGCTAGTCATGTACATGTACATGTACATGTGCGTGTGCCACTATGCCACAGTAGTGGCACTATCAAATTCTGATAATATCTACAATTCAGTTTTATTAAACTGGAGCTATGCACCAACAGGCAGACCACACGGCATAGCATTTCAATAGCAGGATGTCACGTTCGCAATTTTCTTTGTCTTCTTCGCTGCTGTAAACGAGATTGGGGGATTGAATGTAGCTGCAACTAAGCCGCATGGTATATTAATTCCACCATCCACACAATCTCGGGGGCGTGGCTGTTGTGAACAGCAACACATCGCGAAAGCTACAATGTAAGCACAGTGACACCATTACTGGCATTACAGTATTATTTTGATCTATTAATACTAGCACCTCTGGCACATACAGTTGTAACGGTTCACACCGACAACACAGGTCTTCTAGTTCTAGTCTTTGTTCCAGTTATTACTAGTATTGTACCATCCACATCATGTGGGCACACTGTACATGTGAACGCGTTCGCGAGCTTCATTGCTTTGGCTGCCGGGCTTCTGAAACATTCTTCTAAAAGTCACTCGGAGGCAAGTGTGAACATTACTTCTCTTTCCTTCACTTTTGCTACTTCTCCCAAGCAATCAGTTGCATAACTAGAGCCTGCGCCAAACGCATGTGGCGAGTTGTTGGCCAAAGCTACGTGTATCCGTATAACTAACGTTACTTCCTCATCATCTGTATCGTGTCCTGTCGTCGCAACCAACACTGAACCGCTTCTTCCTTTCGCCAGCGTGTCAAATAGCGATACCAGGAGTGGACCAAGGTAAGCCAGGTAATAAATAATTGCTGTATTAAATCCCCTAATTCAGTAATTGCTGTATTAAATCTTGTGCTCGGTGAAAGCGCATCGGAGGTGGTGCTGTTGGGATATGCAAAACGTACTTGAACTCTGTAGAGTACTAGTAGTTTCCGTGCATTGTAGCCCAGTAGTGCTGTAGTAGTACTAATACCATGAATACACGACTATGCAGTAGGGCCTAGGGGGTTATGCTTTACAGTCAAACATCGAAACAGTTCAAAAGTCGAGGTACAGGCTACTAGCAGTATCGAATCACGTAAGCCGCTATGTGTGTAGCACTACAAAAATTTATGTGTGTAGCCGCTATGTGTGTCGCACCCATAAGCGGTTCCGCTGACTCACCACCATGCCATCATTTAAATAATAGTAACACGTTTATAGTTATAAAACTGATTGTAGATGTAAATATACATTGTACATGTACTTCAGTATCTGGTTTATGGTCAGCTAGTGTGCAGGGGTTGGATACAACAGGACTGTACTAGATTGGGCGTCTGACAGTGATACATGTACTTGACAGTACATTATTTTTGTACATACAAAGTCATCCTGATCATTGATTACGACTTTCTAAGTTTCTAGGATTGTAGACGTAGTTTATAGTCGTAGCGTTGTCGTCGTCCGTGTCCTACATCAGTACACACACACCTCTACATGTAGTAGGTCTACATGGTACGTGTTTCCGACGATAACGATCGATAGCGTGTCAATCCGTGTCAAGCCCTAGACGACATGTAGCGTGTACGCGGACATTGTACATTCAGTAGGGAGTAGTACCAGTAGTCGCGATGCCGGTCATGGGCAAGGTACAACAAAATAAAAGAAGTTTCTCACCCCAAACCCCGCCTATTATAACCTGAACAGACTGTTAGTGTCGCTGTACAATGACTACAATGATGTCATAGATAAGAAAGGTGTGTTTCAGCTACATGTACATGTACATGTACATGATTGTTATAACTAGCGTTAGGGACTAGCAAGCTGTCTTCTGTCGATATGTCGTCCATGCTCTGTCGACATTCGCAGAAATTAGCAGGACGGAGCAGCACACCAAATTCATTTCATATAACCACAGCAGAACGCACGATCCGTCCACTGGTGTGCATGGCTGTCTTCTGTGTCTCCAGAATATAGATTCTTTCCCTCAAACCAGTTTAAAATATAGATTATACTAGACACATGTACTGATGAGATCTACATGTAGCGCAGTACTACGAAGCTCACAGACACGTCACAAGTAACCCGCCGTGTAAACCTCAGAACTTCTCATCTGCAGCTGTCCAAGTAAATAAGAATTCCTCAGGCTCTGTACAAGTGATTTAGACCGATGGTATACGGTAGATGTCACCATTGGCATTGATGTTGGGATGAGGTGTTTTGGGGGGGGGGGGGGGAGATAAAATTGGGAATACTGTAGTATGCACATAGAACATTGTTTGGTCCCATCAAGGCATCGGTGGAGGTGACTCAACATTTTCCATCAAGGCATCATACTACTTAATAGGATTTTAATTACATGTAATTGTTAGTGTAAACTGTTCATAATGCCTGGTGCTGTCATCGCTGCTGCTGCTGCTCCCTAAAGAATAGATATCACGCGACTGATTGTTGCTGCAGTGAGATTTGTGTGCAGGGACCCTATCCTAGGCCTAGGCCAATGGCGGAGTGGAGGATTGTGAGCTAACGTAGTACGTGTACAGGCAAGGTACAACAAAATAAAAGAAGTTTCTCACCCCAACCCCCGACTATTATAACCTGAACAGACTGTTAGTGTCGCTGTACAATGACTACAATGTGTACAGGAGAGTTTGAGAGGTGTTATGTTGTGGATCGATCGGAGCAACCAAAGCGAAGAAGTAGGCAGGTAGTACTAGGTAGACCTACGTGTTTTTGAATTCCGCCGCAGAACCAAACGGGCGGTGTCGCCATGGAAGCGAATGGAAACAATAAATTATTGTAGAAAAAATAGCCTAAGAATATGATAGCAGCGTTAGTACAAAGCAAAGAATGCTCAGTCAACGAATAACGTTAGAACAAAACTCAGGGGAGGCGGTAGACAGCACACAACTGGTACTGTGGTCAGTGTGGAGTACTGCAAACGCTCAAAGCCTTTGACAAAGGACCCACAGACTCGTAGTGTTCAGTAGTGGGTGCTAGCAAGTGAGAGGTGGGACTGGGAAGACAAAGAACAAGACTTACAAATTAGTTACATCGCAGAGTTGCGGAACCTCTATTTGTGACGGTGCTGCCCAGGATCATCATTGCATCAGACATCAGCCTCTACTAGCTCTAGCTAGCTCTAGGCTTCTAGCTCTCTGAACCGAAGCGCACGTGCTGCGAAATCCAGTGGGTGCACATGTACGTACGTGTGCTGATGTACTGTCATGTACAGTCTGTAGATCATGCGCATGGAAATGCAACTCCACTAAGGCACTACAGTGGTCCCTCTATAATCCGGCACCATTTGTGCCACGAAATTCTGCTGGATTAGGGAGGGTGCTGGATTAAAAAATCTGATTTACTGCTGCAATGTGCATGAAGAGGACATTTTGGCTACTGAAAATTGTGCTGGTTTATCGAGGGTGCTGGATTATAAAGTGCCGGATTAGAGAGGGACGACTGTATTATCATCGCCTACATAGTCATTGCCATTGGCTACAAATCAAAATAATGACTATTGTGGGTTGTGGGTTTGGAGAAACTTTTGGACTGACTCCGTATCCACTAGTACTAGCTTGGTGTATGACTCATTTTTGGCATGTAATTGTTCTGCGGATTTGTAGGCGTGCTTGGCAATTTTAATCTTGCAATAATGTGCGTGACTGCTAGCACTACTTGGTGTAATGACTGTATAACTATAATCATGATTGTAGCGGCCACATGACCGTAAATGGCGTAATACGTAGTGTAGCCTAGTACATTACGTAGATCTACTACTCAGTACTAGGTTGTAGCCTGTAGGTGCGAGCCAGTACCACTAGTGCACTACCATCGACGGTGCGAAGCCGCCTGTGCCGCAGCGCGCTTGGATTCCATCCCTGGCCCTTCCAGTACTGACAGTAGGACGTAGCTAGCGCCTAGCCGGGCTGTGCTATCATCATAATTATTATGAATGATGAGTCGAGTCTTTTCGCAGCACACGAACAGTCCTTGGCTACACCACAATGTTCACTGCAGGACTCGGCAGGGAGGGCATCATCAGGGATGCCCTCCTGGGTGAAAAATCATTTGGATAATTACTGTACGTGGTGTTGTTATGTAGTGAAGGACTGTTCGAACGTTCGTGTGTTGCGAGCTGACTGAGAAGATGACAAAAGGCTGAGCTTCAAATAATTGCAGAGATAAAGAGTCCAGTAGTACAATCAATGAATCATGTAATAGTATGGATTATAATTATTTATAATTATGTACGACTCGACTATACTACGAGACAAGTAAAAAAGTAAAAATAAAAAAATCACCTGCGCGTGCGCTCTGCATGCATGCATATCATAATCATGCACATGAAAAAAGGGATACATGCAAAAATCATCGGCGCCAAGACGTCTGGACCAGCCGCTAGCATGCCGGCTGCTGCGTGCAACGACGATGTTTTGTATGCCTGCTAGGCCATGCTAGCTGTGTGTACGTGTGCACAGAAAGTGAGCAAAACGGAGGGTGAGATGCATGCACGCCTGGCTTGCTTTGCTTTCCATTATTTTAGCATGATAATGATTATGGAGCCAAGTACTAAAATCGGCTAGATCATAGATCCTGCCATTCCTGGCGATGGGAAGCTGGATGCGTCAAGGACATAGCAGTGCCAGTACAGGCCCAGCACCACTGCCAGTGACAGTGGTGGGTGGTATGTTGGCAGATCTATGAGTATGGTTATCATGGTTATGCCAGTGCGTGTGCTGAATGTATGACTCGATCTATCGATCCCGTTGTCGCGTGCATGCACATGCACCATACTGAGTCACAGATGTCAATGCATGGGGTGCGCTGCGACCGCGATGGGTTCAGCGTAGGCTAGAGTAAAATATCTTACCGCTCACGGCCGTACACGAACAGTGCGAAGTACCGAATGCAAACAATGTTGTGTCGGCGATTATAAGGGAGACAGACTGTCTGGCGTTCAACTTCAGTTCGCTCTTTGGCGCTGAGGTAGTCACACTGGCGAGAATTGTTGCCGTCCTCACGCCTCGACATAGTGTCTAGTATTTTTGACTGTGCTGTCAACATACTACAGAGTATACAGAGTAATCTTGTGGTAGTGTGCAAGTAGTTACACAGTTTGTTGCTGAAGGTTGTGGGTTGCTTGTTAGACACAATCAACTAAGTCTATAGCTGGTGCTTCTCCTCAAGCCAGGATAGGTAAGCGCTTCATTTGAAAATTCTTACTTCAGTTGTAGTGCGTAGTAATTGCTGGTAATGATTATGTGCCAGCATTTTCCTTCCAAACAGTTTACCTGTGCGGAATGTCCGTTTACTATGGTATAGTTGACTGTGATGCGGCGAGATCAGTGAATTACGTGACTACTGTACTACTATCACCACGAGTAGCCATTGAGACTATGATTATGACTAAACTAATGTTACTAATGCTAGCGTGGCTCAGTTTGCCATTCTTGTATGGGAATATGTTGTGTGCTGAGTTTCTGGAATCATGACTGGCGGGAGTTGCTGAATCAAAAGATTATGTGAAATTAATTGTGCTGCTCCAGCCTGCTTTCAAAGGGGTGGAATTCTAATCTTGTGTTTGGAATTTTCTTATGTGCTTGGTTTGCAGTAGTTCGGTTGACTACCGTACAGCATAAGAATAAGATATTGGCAGTGCCAGAGCAGCCGCTACTCGGGAAAGAATGGATCTAGCGCAGCAGCAGCGAGCCTCTGCTCCGGCGGCAGTGATGCCTGTAGCGTGTGGGGGTTCGTACTGTGCCAAGCCTCAGGACTGGATCATGGCCGATCCCAATGAGCGCGATGCACCCCAGGTGGTTCTGGCTGATAACGAAGGACACTGGGAGAAGTTCAGCCCAGAAACGATGGAAATGGTGGTCACTCGGGATGGCAGGTACGTTGTAGATTGTGAGTGGTCAAATTTCTCTGGCATTGTACGTGATTGTATACATTTTCACCTCTTGAAGCATGGAACTGGAAGACAAACTATTTTTCTCTTACCTTTTCTAGGACTAGGTGCTGTACGGTAAGCTAGCTGTGGTTGAAAGCTCGCACCTGATTTGGGCAGACGAATTGTGAATTTCTTGGAGAAGACGACGCACTGTCGTGCCTGGTGCTTGATTACTGGCGTCTGAATTCTTGCTGTGTAAATGGCCCCGGTACGGCATCGTTGCAAACGTTGCCCTCTTTGCCTGCACAGCTGTCGACAGGCAGCAGTCGTTTTCCTCGCTCTCCATCACTCACTTCGAGCACTACAGGCGCCAGCCTGACGGCAAAGAATCGCCCCAGCGATACAACACCAATGCTGAAAGTCATATCGCGCTGCGTGACAGCACCGCTCGCTGGCGACTTGTACTTGTAGTTCTCACCTCAAAAGCACGCACGGAGGTGACAAAAATTTCCAACAGCACGTCGTTGGTACCGTGACGGCTGGCGCCACCGCGGCGCCGGGTGGTCACGTGCAGACAGGCGCTCGCTCGGCGATGGCATCGACACCTTGTTTGTCCCCGGGTGGCGCTGGATTCATTGCGTATGCGTGAGCGTTCACACCATCGTTGGCGTACTCCACGCGCAGTCGAGTCAGCCACGTCCACGCTGCGCAGTCATGTAGCTGCGCGAGTCAGGGACTCACGCCGATTGACAACAGGACGAAAAGGATACACGCCTTTGCGCGCAGTTATCACACTCTAGCTCTCCGCACTGCTGTTGTTTTGTATTGGCCTCTTCCTGCACTTCATCACGCCAAGAGCCATCAAGGTCTCTATTCACAATGGTTGGGTGTGAAAAACTTGAAGAAGTGTCAGCTAATCTTCGCTGGGTGATTCATCGTGTTCACTCTGCACTTTGCGCTGGGTCAGCAGTGGAGCCATCGAGTTGCGCCTCTTTTGTTCACAGTGCTGTGGGGGGTTGGGACTCGAGTAGTGCTGTGTAGTCGGCCCCGCACATTCTGGAATCCAGTGCTCGTAGTCATCTCGATGATTTACTGGAGCCCTGCGACGCTGTGTGTGTTCTTCGTCTGCTTTCTACTGTGTTCGTTGGTACTTTGTGCTAATTTTGTATTTGTGGATTCTCCACAGGCCTTAGCCTGAATCAAAGAAGCCCCCGTGCTTTTACATGTGTGGTATGACCGTAACCTTTTCTCTGCCTCTCGTTCTTTGCTGCACTACAGACGCTTGTTTCCCCGATGCAAGTTTCAAATCCGCGGTTTAAACGCCACGGACCACTACAAATTCTACATCTCGCTGGTGTCCGCAGACGGCAATCGCTACAAGTATGACTTTCGATCGACGTGGACCACCGTTGGCATGGCGGATCCGCCAGTCAGGAGCAGTGAGCAACTGTACTGCCACCCTGACTCGCCAAGCACTGGCGACGCGTGGAGCAGGCAAAGCACAATATGCTTCGACAAGCTCAAGATCACCAATCGGGAGGACGATGACAAAGGCCATGTAAGTCAGACATCTGCATACAATGTCCACCGATGTGACTGCAAAGCTAAACTAAACGGAAAGTTCGCAGCAGCGCCCATTCGTAACGACGTCGCACCATGCTGTGACGGCGCTATTGTGTCCCCAGTTTATGGATAGCCAACTCGGTGTGGCGCGTGTCACATTCCTAAACAGAAGTTTGTGTTACCTCGACGCACTCGTGAACACCACAATAATAGCTTGTCGGAACGAAATAGGGGCCATTGGGAGTACTCCAGTTGTTTCTGCTGGACATTGTGTTCAGGCTGTGCAATGCCATTATTATGGCATACACTGCCAGATAGGAGAAAGTTACAGATACGAATGACAGCTAGCAGCTGGCTGACGTGAGTGCCCTCAAGTGGTTGTGCCCTGCCCCCAGCCCCCAGAACAGAGAGTAGGAATGGGTGGTGGTAGCCTTGCGTTGGTGATACGTACTAGTATAGTAGTCATTGGTCAAACAGAAGCAGAACCTTTGCTGAATCTGATACCTAATCAACAATCACGATTGTCCACTGTTTAGATCAGTGTGACACGCATGTCCATGTATACAGTTTAGTCAGAAAACTACTTGTGCAGCAGCAGCAGCAGTACAGTCATAGTAATCAGTAGGGAGTAGATATCTACATGATTGCAGAGGCAGAGAGGAGGAAAGTGGCAGGTGTGACACTGGCCATGGTGGTACTCAACTAGGACAGTGTATGTGGGAGCAGACTTGCACAACCCATGATTGGAAGCAGTCTGCTGGCCGATGCAATAGAGATTGGAATCGTGTATTGCGGTGCGAGGTGCACGTGTAGTGGCCAAGCATTTTCAGCTTCCTGAGTGCTTCCTTCCTTCTGGCGACCCTGCTCACATGCGCGCGCTTCTGCAGTGTTTGGCATGCTCCTCTGGGCTATGCTTCTGCAGTGTTTGGCATGCTCCTCTGGGCTATGCTTGGGACTGTGCTTTCTTGCCTAGACTACACATACAATAGCACCTCTCACTGTCTGCCTGCTGCTATTTCCAAGATGCCCACTGTGACATGTACCTCTGATGACATCATCATGATCTCATAGGTCTCTGTGTATGTTTCGTTCTCTCTTTCCTTGGCTGTTCGCAGATATTCCTGCACACCATGCAGAAATACCGTGCCAGAGTGTACGTCGTACGCGTGAAGCCCAACATGGAGGAGGTCTGCTGGTGCTTCGATTTCCCCAAGACGACTTTCATTGCCGTGACAACGTACAACAACGATGCTATTCGCCGCTTCAAGGTGAAGAACAACGCCTTCGCAAAAGGTCACCGGCAGAAAGGGTAAGAGTGCACGATGGATCATGCTACTAAGCGAGTGTGCCTTGGTTGTATCTTGACACAGACAGATACGCTACCTTTCCTTGCATGCTGACTCATAAGTCATGTACCTTCATTGTACATGTTTACATACTGTGACATTGTCAGCTGTTTGCCAATAGCACTAATCATGCGCGCTTGCCATCCTGGTAACTAATGCATTGTCTTGCGTTGTTTGTTGGTGTCTATACAGAGCCCTGGGCGATGGCTCTGACTTTGCGGCGCAGATGACTCACGCACACGCAGCGGTGTCACCGTCGCCGTCACAGGTTGTGCGGACACCTCCGCCAGGCTGTCCACAGGCGTACTATGTACACGCCGCAGCAGCATCACGCGCCATGCAGCAGCAGCCGCCGCCGCAGCAGCAGCAGTCTGTCAGCTACACGCCGGCACGTATTCACCAGCAGCAGTGCTTCGTGCCAATCTGCACGCCTAGCTCCATGTCGACTACTGGCGCGACTGAGTTTCCGTTTCAACCGGTCAAGAGACCGTCGTCATGCTCGTTGTACGCAGAGCCTCCCAACAAGACGGCACGTACGGACGGCGGTACATCGGGCCTTGGCAGCGAATGCACCAACACGAATCTGTCCTCGCCCTGCCGTGAGTTTAGCATAGCTCACATTTGCCGCCGTGGCGATAGGGAAACACCGACAAGCGACGAGGGCGTACCCCCATCGTGCAGTGCCAGCAACCATCATCACGATGATGATGGACGGTCAGACCATGCCGTACCTATATCTCCGACACCGAAAGCAGCAACAGTAGCAGCGGCGCATACATACATACAGCAACCACTGCCGTACAGTGCTGTGTCGCCGCTGTCCAGTGCTGGTGCTACGTCTTCTCCGACCATGGCAAGACCAACGGCCATACCTATGCTGCACCCCATGCAACAGCCAATTCACATCCCCGCTGCAGCACATCAAGCGCCAACGTACTTTCAGCTGCCAGGAACACAGACACTGGTGCCAGTCAACCCCAACAGCAATGTCGGCGTTCAGCCGTATCATCATCCCATTCCAACCATCATGGCTCCTGCTGGCTGCTCAGCACCACCAGCAGCACAACCGCATCAACCGCAGCAAAGTTTTGCCTATGTTCCTGCTGCTCCGCACATGCAGGCCATGCAAATGATGCCAGTCAAGTACGTTGTGCTTCAGCAGTCATGATCTCTCTGTATCCCGAATTCTTGTATTCTTCGTCAGTGCTCCGTAACAGCGGCAAGTGAAGTTCCAGCTGAGTACATGGTCGTGTTGACTCTCCCTCTGGGCCGCTGTGTGAGTGCAGTGCCTTTATTCTCCTATTATCTCTATGCAGACGCTGATCAGGCCGTCAACTGCATCTTTGCGGCCTGGGCACAATATCCTACGAAACACACAAGTATTTTCTCCGCCTCAGACTTATCCTGCTTTATAACCGCACTATCCTGTTGAACTATTTCTTTGGCATTGTCCTTTCTTCGCCGTCTTGAATTGATCTTTGAGTTTTAAATCCAAATGAATATCTCTTGTGTCGCGCCAGATTTCTTGATCCAATGTTGAATATCCGTGCCTCTCTCACATTATTCCTGATAACGTATTTCATATTCCTTTCATCGTCTGAATTATTTTACGCTATTTTCAACTTTTCAAGGCCAGTCTTTTACTAACGAAGCACTGCTTCAGTGCAAAACATACTGTACTGTGCTTGAGTGGTTTAGTGTGAGAGAGGGACTTGGCTTCACAGAATGAAGGAGCTGCTGCTTGGGGTCTGGGCTAGGATTGTGAGTCAAGATTATTCTTACTTTGAAGTGTGTTCAATGAGCAGTAAGATACTGGCCCTGAGAAAACCAGCAGCAGCACTGCTACAATAACAGCATGACTGTAACACTACATGTGGTAGTGGTCCCTCTGTCTCTTTCCTGCACTGTAATGTGTAAATACTGACAGACTGATATGTACGATCTCTGCACACTGCAGTGCCACAATAAGAATAACACTGAGCACTGCCATGCGCAGGTGATGGTGCCAGCCTGGCAGGCATGTGCCAGGTACTGTCAACACCTTGTCCCCAGGTAACTGGCAGCATGCTGATGGCGATGCAGTGCTGGCTGGAAAAGTGGACAGCATACAGTGCATGCTACATTTTTAGTCCTACCCATCAACTAGTAGTCACGTGAGTAGTAGTACACCATGATGATGTAGACACTAGACAGTCACAGTAGACCGACCCAATCTCTCTGTAACGACAGAACAGTCATCTATCACCATCATGGATATGTTAGTAAAAACACTTTACAGCACAGGCAGTGGACGGCACTGGACATCTCCATTGTCCTCCTGAGCATCAAGATAAGACTGCAGGCAGCTGATTTCTTGCCTGGCATGCAGCATTGTGAGAATGTGGCCAGACAGCACTGTCAAAACAGGTAGTATTATCACACTTACATGGCTCCAGTGCATGGAACAGATCACCAGACCTGCAAAGGAAACTGGCAGAAGTCCACCGTGGGCTCAGCAACGACGGCCATGGCTGTGCACTGCAGACCTTTCCCCCAAAGAACCAGGGAGTCGCATGTATTTTATGACTCCCTGCAAAGAGCCGCAGTATAGGTTTGACTGAGCTGAGATTCGGGGGAAGGCAAAGTCTGCCACACACCATACTAGCTGAGGCGGCCTGGACAAAGCCAAACACGCAGGGCCTGTAACTAACTGCTCTACTCTACTATAATAATACACAGTCGCAGGTAAGAATCATCTTTACTAAAATCCTAGCCCAGACAGTAAGACCCAAAGCAGCATCTCCTTCATTCTCTGAAGCCAAGCCCCTCTCACATCAGGACAATATTACCCAGAGTATTATATGCCGTGTGGTTATACTCCAGTATCTTTTCAGCAGTGCAGTCTCCTAAACACAAGTGCATCACTATGAGCGCTGGAGAGAAATTGGCATTCATCACGTTACGATTCCCGAAACTGCAGTAATACTCCGGCACAGTTACTCAGTATCAGTAATGGTATTGCAAAGCACGGTGACCGTGTGCGTGAAGGAGAACTGAACTGAATGTAAATGAGTGCTACTATGCAATACAAACCACCGCATAGTATACCCATGCAAACCAAATACCACCAATTCTCCACCAAATTTACTTTAAACTTGTGCAATTGCATCTCGTACATGCACTGCCACTCATTCTCATTTGCCTCAAAGACATAAGTTTCAACATTGGTGTTATTTCAAATAATTATGCGTTCAGTAGCTGAGGGCTGAAGTCAAAACCCATCGGCCTCAAAAAGCTGCCCGCATCAGAGCAATGCAGGTAAGACTCCAGAAGCCAGTGGATAAACTGAATTTTAAAGTTGACCGGATTCAAGTTGGTATTGGCAGTACTGCCACACCAATGAAGAACACAAGACCTCCACCACAATACTTGTACTTTGAACAAGAACACTGTAACAAGCTTCAACTGCATGAATACCAGCACTAGGAGTCTAGGAGGCGCCGCCACTACAACTCCCAAACATACATTGTAGCACTGACTGTACTACTACTAGCAACACTACCAGATACTAGTAGTAGTACAAGTAGAACATGTTGAGTACTACAGTCCACATTGCATAAGCCATCACTGTCCTAAGACCTTCGGATACAAGGTAACAGTTACTGGTACTTCCAAAAACGAAGTAGCTCTGCCATACAGTACAATGTACAGACTGAGAGTGTGCGATGCAGGTTGCTAGGTACTGTACTGTACTAGTATGCTGTACGGAATATTCACCGAATCAACAAAAGTGCTTCACGGCCTAGCACGGATGACAAGACGAGACGCTGAGCAACGTTGATACGCACAACAAGACAAGACGTCGAGAAACGTTGATACGCACAACCACATACAGCACACTGGCGCTACTGCCGACGCCACCTCGCACGTCACAACGCACGTCACATGCAGCTGGACACCATCGTCAGCTGCTGCGCTGATCGGCGACAGGACCCTTGATCAAGTCAGCCGCCGGGCACAGGGAAAACCTTTACATGTTGTCTGTCAAGCAGAGAACTACATGCAAGTCCACGTGACAGTAAGAATGCAGACAGCAGCACCCGGGCAGCCTTATATTGATGACAGGTGTGCACAGATAACGTCGTCAGCAAAACAGTGCAAGAGGACAGCATGACTGCCTCTTGTCAACACATTGTTCAAAATCAGCTGAGAGAGAGAGAGAGAGCGCGTTAGTGTGTGCCCGACGGCAGCAAGACATGTGCAAAACGCGCAGTAAATGTCGTCGTTGATGGCACTCTGCCATGGCAGGGGAATATTCCCGGAGAGGAGAGCATGCAAGTGTGCAGTGTGCAGCACGTGAGGCACCTGGTCACAGGGACCGACTGTCAACACCATACCTAATCCATTCAGGATGTACTGGACTGATCACCTCGTGTCATACATAGCATAGCGTACACGTGAAGCCAACAGACGCAAACCATACATGTGCACAAACAGCACGTTTTACGTAGCTAACAGCACTAGGAATGCAACAGACTCGCTGCATGTTGCGGCAGACGTCGTGTCACAACACAGTGAATGCATGTACACCGTACAGTCGTACACGTATACAAACACACATAACAAGCGTAACACCTCACCCCTATACCCGTAGTACACAGTAGCCTGGCTTCACATCTACAGCACATACAAGTACACAGTGATTGGAATACACCATGGCATACACAACTAGCTATGGTGATATCTGGTGAAATCCAGCCTGGCTCACAGTTCGTAAAGCTTTGAAGGGGTTGGATTTCACCCAGCATAGCTGCAGTGTGTAAAATCAAGAACAGACAGCGAGCGACCCGCCACGCACACGTCACGTCCCGACAGCACTGGCAACATCGTACAAACCCTACTTGTCAGCACCATCCCTGAGCGCACTGCACACACACGTCACACACGTCACACGTCACATGCATGGTGTCGACTGCGTACCCAGTGGACATGTAAACAGTGACCACTATGCCCACTATGACCACTATGCCACACAGCTATCAGCTACACTGCACTGGTGACATCAACAGCACACTGAGAACACGGGCCACACGGAACCCACGGATCTTGACTTGCACATGATGTACAAGTACATCTCACAATGCCAAATGTACGTACATCTGACGAGCCTGTCATATCCATTCACAATCCCTTTACCAGTGTGAATGACGGATACAACAACAACAACAACAACAACAACAGCAGCAGCAGCAGCAGCAGCAGCAGCAGCAACAACATGGACAGGGCAGACGACTACAAGTTCACATGTGACACACCCCGACCAGAATTAAGTCAACACACCATGGCGGTGACTAACTCAGGAAGCTCGAACGAGTGGTGCTATTATTTACTGTTGACATTAGCCTATTTACCAAGACACGAAGTTTCGACGGTGGCACGATTAGTTTACAGAATACTTCATAAAATCACGTCGCTGTGTATGGGGGTTCGACACACGTGACTTAATGACTCTAACGATGTGTGCTCACTGAGTTAAATGTTCTCAACTGATAAGTAGGAGGAAACACAGCCAGTTTGTGCTAAGGTTGGTTTGATCATAACTGCTAACCAACCACAGTACACCATACCACTACCACTACAAGTACTACAGTCATGACAATGCTGTCTGTGCAGCTGTGGTAGGTTCAGGAAATTCCCATTCTCAGCATGGTATGTATCGTCATGCTGTACTTCACTGCTTCAGAAGGCATGCTGCATGACCACCAGCACCACCACCAGCACCAGCACCACCACCAGCACCACCACCAGCAGAAGCAACAGCACAATGGCTACAGGAACACAACCCGTTCTTACCAACAGAAAGTGTCTGCCTGCCTGTCTGCCTGTGCAACGCTGCAACATGAACACCACTGTGTTGTCTCCACTCTGGAATAGGATCCAGTACCCTGCCAATCAAACATGCATTCGAGTAGAAAGAACACCACAACAAAACTATTGACTCCATGACACACCACTGTGTAGCCACTAGCCACACTGTGTACAGACAATGCAGTACAGATACGAACGTCCAACACCCACCCGTTGTGGCGAACAAATTCCCTTGATCCCCTGGTGCTTGTTCTAAAGAAGCTATGAGCTGGGCTGCGGGTGGAAATGTCAATATTGGCTGCATTATCTGAATTTCAACAACTCACAAAATGCCTTGGGAAACCCCTGGGGCGCAGGAACACAGCATACACGTTCAACCAAAACAGTAACAACACAAACATCCAGCGTGTGAACAAGACATAGCGTGTGCAACCATATATCTCCACTCAGCTAACCCGCTCTACACAAGCGTAGCCACATCACCAGCTAGACACCACGCTGTCTTACCTGGCAGTGAACAATGGCCAACATACACAGCGTCCGTCCATCCATTGTCCAGCCGTGCCTGCCGCACAAGAAGAAAGTCTCAACAGACAACAGAACGTATCTGTGCTTCACCAATCAACTAGTCTACAGGAGCATTCTTAATTAAAGAACACAGCAAAACCCATAGTTTGTACCCGCAGTCCACGTAGTCCACACAGCATGTTGCCAAGTGTTATCAAGATCAAAAGGAGCTATTCAAAAGCTATCCATCTGTCCTGGCAAAGAAATAGAAAGAGATGATATCACCTAAGAGTTATAAAAGTCCGATATAGTCCAGATTGAAATGAAAATGGTCATCGGTAGAGGGGCCATTATCTCAGGCAAATGATAGCAACGATTGCAAAACCATGAACAGCGTGACGATAGAAAACAATACGAAAAACACACCCACACAGACAACCACCAGCACTCTCACGCACAGGTATGTACAAGCAAGCACATAATGGGCTCACAAGAGAAGGATAAAAGAAACTGAAAAAAGCAAAAACACTATCTAGATCCAGCCCAGTGATATGAAAGCATGTTACTATTGTTAGTGTAAAATTATGAAACAGTAACAGTAACAGTAACAGTAACAGTTAGCAATGTGGCGGCGCAAGACCACTAACTACTCAACCGCTAGCAACGTGACTGCAAACAAGGCAGTAAAATGAGAAAAAAGGCTGCCACGCGATAAATCAATGAAATTTTAGTACATAGCACTTGGTCAGTGGTAAGTTTCTAGGAAAAGTACACAGTGTACATTGGGTGTGTACATTGGGTGTGTACATTGGGTGTGTACATTGGGTGTGTACATTGGGTGTGTACATTGGGTGTGTACATTGGGTGTGTACATTGGGTGCCTGTTCAAGGCTGGATTAACAATCATGATGATAGTCATAAATATTTGAGTGTAAAGCAGTCATTGCAAACGCCATCTGATAAAGGAAAACTGAATGCAGACGAGAAGAGAGAAAGAGAGAGAGAGAGAGAGAGAGAGAGAGAGAGAGAGAGAGTTTATAAGACCATAAATGCATGCTGAGCATTCCACAGCCGTTTCAACCAAACAAGTGCCTTCCAGCGGCAGTAAAAAAAAACGCAAGCAAACAGAGTCGCTTGTATGGTACAAATATGTAAACAAAACAAAAGCATGTTGACGTCTCACGCAGTGCGGCCATGCGCCCTTGCTACACGTGTGGAGGTAAGCGCCCAACCAGACATCCAGCGGCTCAGGAAGACGCGTGCAGAGGCGAACCGCGGCAGCCACTAAAATCGCTGCAGTTCGCTTAGAAATAGTAGTTGTTCTGAACCTTCTGCAGGTAGTCGTAGAACTGGGTGCTGTAGGCAGCAGCAGCAGCGCAAACAAAGGAAAGAGATGAGAACAAGAGTGTAGGCTGCAGTGTCTGCACACACTATGCACTAGCATACCCCTTTTAATATAATTGCTAGCTACGGGCTCCCTCTCACGGCTCCCTCTCACTTGCACTTTGTAAGTTTGCATTGTAATGAGATACCGTATTATCTCTAATATAAGCACAGTCTCCAATAATAGCACGTCTCCAATAATAGAACACCTTGGGGCTGCATTCAAAAAATAAAGTGCTCAGTCTCCATTATAAGCACACTGTGTAAATTCATTATCTGTACCGGCGAAAAACCCCTGAAATGCATGTGTCTGACATGAATTTGGCATGGCAACATGCCTCTGAAATGAGGTTGAAATAATAATGGAACAGTCTCCAATAAAGGACCGTCTCCATTAATAGCACGGGGCGGAGGTACATTGAAAAAATAAAGGACCGTGCTTATAATAGAGATAATACGGTAAGCACAAGCACAAGCACACCCAGAGTACAGTCAAACAGTCCAGTACAATGAACTAGCACCCCGGATATAACATACAGTGCGATACCAGCATTACAGTAAGATCGGGTGCCGAAGAACACCTTGCCGAAGAACACCCAGGCTGGAAAACCGGCAAAATTTAAGAACAGTCCAGGCTAGAATTATCAGATTTAAGAACACTTTTAAAATTTGGAACATTGTACATGTATGGGAGGTGAGTACATGTCATGTACAGGTGTAAACAGTAACTGCTACATGTACAGTCATTCCCATTTACGACACCAACTAGTTTAGAAGTACTACATTGCACTACATGTACATGTACATGTACATGTACACGGCAAACGTCATGACGTCACTCGACTCGCCGCGCGCGTGTGAATAAGAACGGTCTGGCTAGAATCAAAAATTTAAGAACTTTCCTAGGCTGCGCTCGAGCCCCTGCGTTCTTCGGCGCCCGATCTTACTGTAGCGTTGAGAACCCTGCACTACACAGTGCTGGCACCAGCAGCAGCAGAAGCAGCAGCAGCGGTGGCAGGAGCGGGAGGGGCGGGGAGGCAACAACAGCAGCAGCGGCAATATAATAAGATAGCATACCGATAGCTGAGATAGGAGTCGTTGATGACTTTGCGCATGTAGTTGGCTGCCACCCGCGGTGGCTGCTGAGGCTGAAGACGAGTCCTATATGACAATACAAACATATGCACAGTATTACACATATGCACATATGCACAGTATTACACATACATACACAAGCTTCTACAAGTACATGCACACACAGCAGCAGCAGCAGCAGCAACAACAGCAGCAACAGCAGCAACAGCAGCAACAACAGCAGCAGCAACAGCAGCAACAACAGCAACAACAGCAGCAACAGCAGCAGCAACAACAGCAACAACAGCAGCAACAGCAGCAGCAGCAGCTAGAGTCCCTACCTGAGTGGTTCAATAGTATTGCCTCTAAAACACGGCAGTCCAGTGTCCAACATCAGTGCAACCAATGCCACAAGTTGTTGATTTAGCGATCTAAACAAATACGACAACAAATACACAGGGTGACAGAAGAGAGAAAAGAGCACAGTGCTGACTAGGCACAATGTCTACAAACATACATACAAACACAATTGAACATACACATGCACACAGACGCACGCAGACGTTCACAAACACATGAACGCACACATACAAACACATGAACACACACATACAAACACACACACACACACGCACATGCACACGCACACACGCACACATACATGCATGTACAAACAGCCTTCTACCATGGCGGAGTCTGTGCCAACTTACCTCACAGACAGGTAGCCACGGATACACAGCTCCATGAACACCCTGTACAGTGTACAGTGTACACACACACAAGGACATTCAACACACACACACACAAGGACATTCAACACACAGCGTCACAAACACAATGATACATGAAAAACTGGATACAACACAGAAGGCAGAATGACGTCTTCGTTAAAACTCGAGTTTCATGCAAAAGCAATCCTCCGGAAACAATGGGAGCTAGCTATGCATAATCTTCCCGCAAGTTGGTTTTGCAGGGCAAGTACACTTCAGCTGTATACATGAAGATACCAGCCCTGCACAACAGGTCATACTCACAAGTGTATTAGAGATGGCTGTACCTGCCAATTTGGGACAAGTTGCCCCGCAAAATGGCTGCAGCCATGTTTTACGCATAGGTACCATTCTAACGGACACTTTTCATCAGTAATCTTGCTAGAAATGAAACGTAATAATGGGTCTATGGGTTTCGTTGCTGCAGCAAGCACTGGTGTTATCCTGCTAGGAAAACTCAAGACCGTTTGCACCAGCCACAGAGAACACAACATACAGTGATTACTTCCATGCACAACCCAGGCGGAGGAAAAGGACAAGACTCCAAGGCACAGCGCTGTGCTAGTAAGCTGTCCACTACTAATCAACAGTGTGTTAATGATGTGTTGAATATATGTGCTGATCAATAGTGACTTAGTGATGTGTTGAATGCCAGTACCTGTACTGATCAACAGCGTACTTTGAAGTATTAGTGTTGTGTTGAATACTAATCACAGAGGCAATTAAGTGAGTTGCAGTGCTTACTTGAACGGAGCTGCATTCTCATCGCCACCCATCAGTCCAACCATCTCTGGTGATAACTTGAAGTCAGGCTCAAACCCAAGATTACCACCAGGAGACGATTCCAGCATGAAGCCAAAATCTGCACATCAGCAGCAGCAGCAGCAGCAGCAGCAAGACGTGACAAACGCATACAGACGTTAAACCTGCTTACAGTGGACGCCATGCGATCATGAAATACGCAGGAGTGGCATTATCGAGGTGCAGTCAGGGACAACACACAACACACAATACACCTGTAGTTCATACTTTCAAATGGTAAAGTTTGTGAAAAGAAGTGCATTTGGCAGGCATGACAAGCATGGCAAATCACATAGGCATGGCAAGCAGCATACCCAATTTTACTGACAAATGGTTGGCAATGGCAAATGAGTTTTGGAGCTCTGGCTGTTTTTTTTTGTTGCTGTATTTGAGCTGGTTCTAGCAAGGAAGAGGAGGGGGGGGGGGGGGGGGGGGGGATCAGGGCATTTTATTGGTTCGCGGGATACATGGAGCAAATAGTGGTACGGTCAATACCGTAGTGACCGCAGTGTGTCTGACGCCCCTGGTACCTATGTGATTGATATGAACCATACCTACGTGAATACAAACATACCTATGTGAATGATGTGGCCAATTTCATCCAGCATGATATTGCCATTGTGTCGGTCCTTGATCTGCAGCATGAACGTTAGCAGGCTGTACGCAGCCATGCTGGTGATGAAATGCCGTCGGGCCTACGCAACGAACACACACACACACACACACACACACACACACACACACACACACCGACATGAGGACATGCACGCACGCA